ATAATTCTTTGTTGACATTTGTCAACCTATATGTCAGCTGCGCGCGCCGCATTACCAACGCGCGTTGCCAACCACTCAAATTCAATGCAAACTACTTATAAAACTTTTACAATGCAAGTTAGGGTATTCACTAAATACGTTTTACAAGTTGGATAATTGAAGATACTAATAGATAAATATAAATATGCAAGTTATCAATTTAAACAATTCAATGTCATACATAGTGCACTTTTGCGTTGTGCCAAATTACAATTTTAAGGAATTCAATTTTGTGAAAGGTGCATTCTTGCGTTGTGTTAAACGACATTCTTAACTCGTTTAACTATCCTGCCGCCCCTAGACGCGTTAAGCGGATAGACTACTCTCCAACTCCCGTAGCTTTCGGATCGCCTCCTTAACCAGACTCCGTGTCGCCCTGCCCCGAGGTGCTATGTTACGCACTATACGTGCGGTATGACGAACCTTCTTTGGGTGCCGGAATTTTTGAGGCTGCTGATATGCGTTGGAGGTGACTCCATTGCGGGGCGGTCGGCGCAAGCGGTAGGATGCGGATTTGGATGGTGCCGAGATTGAGCGTCGAGCCGATGTTGAGCGTGGCGCTGAAGCTGGAGCTGAACGTGGCGGTGGATGTGCTTGGGAGGTGTTCTTGCGGTGAAGAAGGGTGTGATGGCGTTGGGCGCAAAGCTTGCATACGCCAGCGGAGGGACATTCACTGCTGTGATGTGACAGCGCAAGACAGTTGGTACAGAAGTGGTGTGCACGAGCGATCAGATAGCGTTGCGCTGGCTGCATTGCGCGAAATACGTGGCATACGCGCAGGGCATGATGACGTGCGCACAAACGGCATCGCTGATAGTCCGCTCCTTCGTCGTCGGGCTGAGTGTCCGGAACCGAATCAACAACCATGGCCTCTGGTTGCGGTTTTTGTACAATACGGGGTGCCGGGGTTGGACCACCGCTGCTAGCTCGCGGTTTGGGTGCAGGAATGCTGCTGCTACTGCGCGGTGTAAGTGTCGGGCCACCATTGTTGCTTCGTGGCGCAGGTTTCGGGACGCCATTAGAGTTGCCGTTCTCCATCTGTAAGTAAGCCGGTGAAATACGATTTTCAGTGGGGAGTCTACAAGACAGTTGAAGAAACGTGAGATTAGAATATTTTATTCAGATACACAGAGATTTAAATTCATTTGAGATAAGAGAATCTGTTATCATGAAAGTGCTTAAAGGCTTTAACAAGTGCTACTTTGGAGAAATCAGAGGGGGGCGTCACCAATTGGTAACGGGCATATTTTGACTATGGGGCGAGTAAGGGTGCCAGATTGAGTGCGTATATCGACAACTCGAACATGTCCGTCTTTGCCGGGATGTGACCTTTCGATGCGGCCTAGACGCCATTCAGTGGGAGGTAAAGTATTGTCAACAATAAGAACGCAGTCACCGACTTTCGGTTCTGCCTGGGTATTTTTCCATCTATATCTCTTCTGTAAATCCTTGATATAATCCTCTTTCCACCTTCGACTAAACTCGTGATGTAACACCTTCACTTTTTCCCACCTATTAAGGAGGGACAGATGGCTGTGGTCGACTTCAGGGAGTGCTAAGAGGGGGGCGCCTCGTAAAAAGTGGCCAGGCGTAAGCGCTGTGAAGTCTGTGGGGTCTTGGGATAGAGCAGAGATTGGCCGGGAGTTTAATACGGCCTCTATTCTGACTAACAGGGTGGTGAACTCTTCAAATGTGAATTTGCTGGGTCCAGCAGTCCTTTTGAGATGCATTTTGAAACTTTTGACTGCGGACTCCCACAAACCGCCCATATGGGGGGCTCCTGGCGGAATAAATTCCCAGTTGATGCCTTGAGGTGAGTATTTCTGGATGACGTCTTGAGATACCTCCTTCAGAAATTCGATGAACTCCTTTTCGGTTGCTCGTTTGGCCCCGACAAAGGTTTTGCCATTGTCGCTCATCATCTTAGCGGGATAACCCCGTCGTCCGACGAAGCGAGCAAACGCAGCGAGAAATCCGGCAGTGGTCAGATCGGAACACAGCTCAAGGTGGACTGCTTTTGTAGTGAAACATACAAAAACAGCCACATAGCCCTTCACCAACGTGTGCGATCTTAGCATTGAGGCCTTTATCTGGAAAGGTCCAGCAAAATCTACGCCCGTAATAGTAAAGGGCGGAGCATACGTGCATCGTTCCGAGGGGAGGGCCGCCATTATTTGCGATCGCGTTTGCTGCTTGTGGACCGTGCAACTTTTACATTGGAAGATGCATTTTTTTATGAGGGGCTTAAGCCGAGGGATATAAAATTCCTGCCTTATGACTTGCTGCATGAGACGAGTTTCTGCATGGAGGAGCAGTTCGTGCAGAAAGCGGGTGAATAGGATGGCGAACCGGGATTTTTCAGGAATAATGATGGGATGTCTTTCATTATAGCTCAAAGTGGCGTGAGCTAATCGACCATTCACGCGGAGCAACTCGGTTTTATCTAAAGACGGGTTGAGGGGAAGCAGAGGACTCCGTTTATCTATGGGTTTGGAGTTTGCTAAACTGGCCTTTTCCCGAGGAAAGTAGCGAGATTGGGTCAAAGCTAGGAGCCTGTATTTGCTATTACGGAGGTCATCATGGGAGAGAGAGATGGGATTATTTGACCTAACCTGTCTGACTCGGTCTCGAAGACACTGTATAAATTTAAAAAACATACGCCATAACTCTAAGTGCGCGGGGAAACGAGGAGAAGCGATCAAGGATATCGTGATCTTCCTCTGTGGCATGTAATGCCTCGACTCGGCGCAATTCTGGAGGGGAGATATTTCGGGTGGCCGGTTTTGGCCAGGCTTCGGGTGGGCTTAATAGCCATTCCGGTCCATGCCACCAAAGCGAAGAGGCCGCTAAGTCCAGGGGTCTGCATCCTCTGGTGCCCAGATCTGCGGGGTTGTCTCTGCTGCCCACATGCCGCCAGGTGGCGTTTCCGACGAGATCTAAAATTTGTGCCGTGCGATTGGAAACGAAGGTCTTCCATGAATGAGGGGGTTTTTCTAGCCATGCCAAGACGATCTCGGAGTCAGACCATAGTGTCAGTTTCCTCTTAGATAGGTCGAGTTGAGACTGCACTACGGCGACCAGCTTCGCTAGGAGAAGGGCGCCGCACAATTCAAGTCGGGGTAAACTGGTGGTTCGGAGAGGCGCTACTTTGCCTTTGGAGACCAGCAGATGAGAAGAGGTCCTGCTACCATTCGTGGTTCGCACATATATGTTAGCGCAGTATGCCTTCTCGGAAGCGTCGCAGAAGCCATGTAGCTCGACTTGGTCGGCTGGGACAAAATCTACCCATCGGGATATTTGGATGCTAGAAATGGCTTGGAGATTGGTTGCAAATTGCATCCATTTCGTCAGACGAAGGGGCTTGACCTGGTCATCCCAGTCAGTTCCGTCCAGCCATAGTTCTTGTAGCAGGATTTTGGCTTGGATCATTATGGGCGTAAGCCATCCTGCGGGGTCAAACAATTTGGCAACTGCCGAGAGGATTTGTCGTTTTGTACTGGCGGATGACGCTGGGATGGAATCAACGGTGTACGAAAACGTGTCGGTTAGAGCGTTCCACTGAATCCCGAGCGTTTTAGTGGTGCTTGTTGTTTCAAATTCTAGGAAGTTTGTGTCAAGCAGGTCGTCTTTGTTGATGTTTTTCAAAATTTCAGGGTGGTTGGCTGTAATCTTTTTAAGTGGGAAGCCTGCCGAATTGAGCGCTTGGATGACTTGAGAGAGGGATTCTTCGGCTGAAGGGAGATCATGACCACCGGAAAGTATATCATCAACGTACGTTTCATTGTTTAATATGGGCACCGCTAAGGGGTACGTGGTTTGCACGTCATCTGCGAGCTGGTGAAGGGTACGTATGGCGAGGTAGGGTGCGCAATTCAAACCAAACGTGACAGTTTTCAACTTATAATCTTGTATTTGGCTATTTGTAGATGGTCGAAATACGATTCGTTGATAGTCTTGGTCGTCTTTGTGTAGCAGTATCTGTCGATACATTTTTTCGACATCGCCGTTGAAGACAAATCGATACATACGCCACTTGAGGATCAATAACATCAAGTCGGGCTGGAGGGTTGGTCCGGTGTAAAGAACATCGTTCAGGGAATGTCCGGACCCCGATTTCTTCGAAGCATTGAAGACGACTCGGACTTTGGTCGTTCTTTTTTCGGGTTTTATAACCGCGTGATGTGGGAGGTAGAACGACCAATATTTGCCTTGAGAAGATATCTCGTGGGAAGTTGTTTCTTCCATATGGTTGAGGGTGAGATATTCGTTTAATACATTTTCGTAAAGTGATTTTAGATCGCCTTTTCTGAGCAAATTTCTTTCCATGCTCAGGTACTGTTGGAGGGCGGGGGTGCGAGACGGGCCAAGGGAGATAGGGTCTGGGAAGCTTGGCTTAAAGGGCAGTCTGACTACATAACGACCATCCGCTGCTCGTGTGGTGGTGGACTGATAAAATTTTTCACAGTTTTCATCATCAGGCAAAGTGAGCTTGGGTTTCGGAACCTCTTCTAGCTCCCAAAACTTTCGCAGCTGGGAATCTAAAACCTCATTGGAGATCGGTGCAGCTTGAGTGGAGAAACAGGCTATTTTTTCGGGAACCTGACCACTTAAGATCCAGCCGAATATGGTGTTTTGTGCAAGCAGATTTTTGGAAATTTTCTCAATGCCTTCCAGCATTATTTCAGGAATGAGGTCACTGCCAATGACCAGATCAATTTGGGACGGGGAGTGGCAGTTAGTATCTGCTAGCTGGAGGTGAGACCATTTTTCTCGTTGTTCGAGAGTTGGCTGGAATTTGGGAAGCATTTTCGTCAACTGTGGCAGGACTATTGCTTGAGCCTTTATTTTCGTGGTCAAATCTGCGGAGGCTAAGATGAGATTGCATAGTTTGTTCGAAGTCTGAACAACTCTTCCTCCCATGCCAGAAATTTCAAAGTTAGAAGCTTCGTATGGTAGCCTTAGTTTATTTTGGGCTTTGGAGGAAATAAAGGTTCGTTCCGAACCCTGATCTATGAGAGCTCTGAGTTTGAAGATCTCGCCCTTGTGCTCAACTGGAACTATTGCTGTTGGGAGGAGAATCTTGCTCTCATTTTCCGAGTAGAAGGACTGTACTCTTGCTCTGTTTGAGCATGAAGGCTCCTCATGATTTGTTGCCGACCCAGCTGGACTTTGTGGGTTGGAATTAGCGGGCGTCGTCAAAGCGACCTGAGATGTCGTTCTTTGTGTTCGAGACTGCTGTCTTGGAGGCATGGGGGGCGTGTCTTCATGAAGCACTGAGTGATGCCGTTCTTGACAATGGGAGCAAGTATATTTACTTGAGCAGTCTTTTATCAAGTGGGTCTGACATAGGCAATTAAAACAGAGGTTGTGTTCTCTCACAAACTTTCTGCGATCCTGAGTTGGCAGTTGACGAAACTTGGAGCACTGAGAGAGAGTGTGTTGAGGTTTATTGCACATTGGGCATTTGTATGGTTTTGTGCGTTGTTCCGTCATGTGCGCTCGGATTTGGCAAAAGGAGTTGTTGTGAGAGTTCTGAGAGGTGGGGGGTTTAGGGAATGGCCTACTGTTAGGGGGGGTTGGCCTCGAGTAGCCTATTGTCGAAGGATTAGTCCGCGGAGGTTTGGGTGCACGAAATTGATCTACCCTTTCAACCACCTCGTATCGAGTAGTGAGGAACTGGTTCATTTGGGACCAGTTCGGGAGGTCTTTCCTGGAACTGAGGGACTGCTCCCATAGGGCCACGGTGTTCTCAGGAAGTTTGGAGGTAACCAGGTAGATCAGAATGGGATCCCAGCTTTCGGTGGAGACTTGCTGGGTGCCTAGAATCTGGAGACAGTTATTCACCGATGATTGCAGTCTCTGTATGTCTTCGCTATTTTCTATTGGGATGGGTTTTAGATTCATAAGGATGCGGATTTGGTTATCTACTAAAACCCTTTTGTTTTCATAGCGAGCTTTTAGTGCTTCCCATGCCAGCTCGAAATTATCGTCACTCAGAGGGAATTGTTTAACTATTTGGGCAGCTTTTCCTTGCGTTTTGTACCTGAGATGGTACAACTTCTGCGCCTTAGTGAGCTTAGGGTGATTTATATAGACCGCCGTGAACATATCACGGAAGGACGGCCATTGCTCATAACCCCCATAAAAGGTTTCGGTGTCGCAAGGTGGGACGTTTAAGCTTATGCCTGAAGTTTCCTGAGGAAGTGATGTACTGGCTTTGGGAGTGGGACTTGTGGTTTGTGCTACTAACTGGAGTTGGTCTCCGATTTGGGCTTTTGTTTCTTCATATATAATCAAACATGACCTATATTTACTGTAGGCAGACGCTCTAAAGTCTTCGGGGAGGTCATGTTCTTCAATTTCCAAAGTCGAATCAAAGGCGTTTTGAACTCTATTCCAAAAGTTTTCTAGGCTCTTGTCTTTTATTTTCAGTACAGACTCAGTATTTTCTTCGATCGGGGCTGATCTGAATCGGGCGCAGTAATCCATCAAATTATCTGTCTCCGATATAAATTTAGTACATATGACCGTTTGTTTTGCCTTTTTTGGCTTTCCGCTTGTACGCGTAGAGCGCTGAGATTCCGCGGGGGTCTCGAGAATTTTTTCTTCTTCGCTCATTCTGGGACTTTTTGGCTTATCTTGAGTGCTAGTGAGACCTAGCATTCGAAGTCGAATGAGCGGACCTAATTAAGGTTGGGATGTGGGGGTGATCAAATACAATCGGGGCTTTACTGTGCGGTCGCAAATAATACGGTTTGAATTAATCACAGGGGAGCGCCTGGAAACCAAGAGAGTGTGGGAAAACTAATAACGCTTGACCCTGTTCACGCAAACCACAAATGGAGATAATTTGAGCGCAAAATGTATGGTTACCTATCCAATGGACTGTATTTTATCTTTTCGAGCACTGTAACTGCCTTGCCTTTTTTATGGGTATTTGTTGTAGGGAGTTCACTGTACGTTATTTTATTTACTTTGTACCGCACTTTCTTTTATATGCCCAATACGTAGTTGGGTATGTGTATGAATGTATGTGTATATATATATATATATAGGGATTACTAAACGAGGGGTTAGTTATGTATTCCCAGCTATAATTCCTTGTATGTTTGTTTGGGATTAACTGATTAGCCGCTGTATATACTATGAGCTTTGGTATATGTGTATATATATATGTACGCCAAGTACTATTTGCTTGTATGCTACAGAATGTTATGTGAAGTACATATGTATATGTATTCTTGCAAAAGTCTTTGTGTGGGTAAAAAATTCGTGAAAATTGGCGCAAAAAAGGTAAAATTGGCGGGAAAAATGAAAATATGGCGGGAAAATTGAAAATTTATGGCCCGAGCAAGGGAAAATGTATGACTTAATGCTGGCGCTTACTAACCATACAAGGAATTATTTTCTGCCTTTTTTTAATATCTTTGTTTCACCGCAGGGTTAGTAAAAAATTGATTTTTACTCACGGTTTTGCTGGGGATACTTGGTTTTGGGGTTATGATATTCCACCGGTGCGGCTCTCTGTTGGCGCCGAAGGACCAATATTAAGGGGGG